TAAATATTCATCACTTTTAGGGGTTTCATTAAGATGTGATTGACAGCTAAATAGCTGTTAAAGGGGAAGTCAAGCCAAACAACATAATGCTCCCCAAGGAAAGAGCTCCACAAATGTAGGAGAATGCAATTTACAGTTTTTGTATATCACTTTTCTTTCTCTACATATTCGACTTTTCACCATTATTAAGTAGTCCGCCAACTTGATTTTCCAGCAAAGGATTGTGGATAAAGTGTGACATCATAACCGCTGTTGTGAAAATTAAGAAAATGCTTTCAACAGTGGATATGATGTCATACTTTACCCACAATCCTTTGCTGAAAAACCAAGATGGTGGACTACATAATACTGATGAAAAGTTGAATATCTAGAGAATGAAACGTGATATAAATAAATTGTAAATTACATGTCCTTACATTTGCCGAGCTCTTTCATCTGGGAGTATTATGTTGTTAGCCTTGACTTTTCCTTTAACTATAGAAACACTAGAAAATTGTTTTAGTTTCAGAACTACTAATTATAATAATGGCGGGGTTAAGGTATATATTTCTTTTCAAGCAAACTTTATTTCTATTTCTGTGTAGATTGTTTTCTTTAAGTTTTTCATTTATGATCTTGTCCTACCTAATGTCAGCATTTTTAATAACACTGATACACTTGTGCAGACTACATCCAAATATTACTTTCCTAAAATATTATCCCTGTTAACTCCTAACCTTTTCACCACCAGACTTTCTTGCCCAAATTTGTCTCCACTTTTTTCTCATATTCCTCAATATTTTTGGAAATGAACCATAATTTTGAAGCCAACAGTAAAAATTTGAGTCAATTTTTGGTTTTTCCGAAAACATTTTGTCGATTTTTGTCCCAATCTTCTGAAGGAAAGTGCAGACTACAAATGGGACGAATTTTTGACGAATTTGTGGTAAAAAGGTTACAAAATAAACCTGCATTATTCCAAGTGTGAAATGAACCTTTCATCCCAATGTGTATTGACCAGAAATGGATCTTGTATTTTCTGTCTCACTAAGTGACAATTGTCAAAATATCACTGATCTGAAATTTCAAAGACTAAAAAGTTGAATCATCACGATTGTTTTTAATCACTGTAGAATACTTTATTTTCGCTTGGAATTTATTTTCGCTATTTTCGCTGAAGGGATGATTCCGTGAAAGTAAAATCCAGTGAATATACTTTTTTTTTCTATATTTCACATTCAACTCATCAAAAATCAGTGAAAATAAATTCCATAAAGAATGCCTAAAAAGCCTATTCAGCGAAAGTTAATTCCAGCGAAAATAAAGCATTCGACAGTATTATAATCAAATGAACATACTGTGCAATTTAAATTTGATTCTGAAATAAAAAAGTTGCTTTCCAAACACTGCTGTTTCTATAATATGTGACTGGTTGGGCGTTAATTCTACTCCCAGTAGTTTGAACGAAATCGTACCAGGCATGCCTGTGAAATGGTTTTGGTTGTGTTTTATTTGCGGGGGAGGGGGAGGGCAAAACTTGACTTGCTGTCAGTTAAAACTTCAATGATTCCAAAAACAAATCCATGTACATATGTATACCATTCAGCACCAAATCTGAATAGTGGACAAAGACACTTGAAAAATAAGGCAAAAGGGCCATTTGAAACAAGTCAAAAACAATGTTGAATGCATCAGTAACCCACTATGTCTGAAGTTTATGTTTGTAATAAATCAGCCCAAACACACTCGAGAATTGGTTGATGATATGTTTGAAATTTGAGTATATTTAAAAAGAATGACTGCTAGCAAAACTTAAACAAATCCCCTAAATACAAACCATTTTGTATGCCTGTGTACCAAATTTAAACTAAGTATTTACCAAACTATTGGGGACATATAACAAGTAAAATGACCACCTGACAGCCATTTTGAATGAAATTGCAAATCACTGGGCGAGCATCAGGTGATAAGATGTAGTCTTTTATACCTTGTCTATGTACCACCTTGTAATGGTCCAAGCATGCATGCACACATAAACCACATAGAAAAAGTCTTCTTCGACCAGATCAGAAAAAAAACTCAATACAAGAGATAGCATTGTTTTTTTGTTTTTTTTAATATACCGCAATAAATTGTACAATAAATTAAAATAACAATCATTAATTTTGACCTTATTTGGAGTTCTACATGAACTAGGTCTTTTTATTAAAACCACCAGCTGTTGATAAATTAAGGATTCACTGGTCAGTTGCATTCTGGGGGAAAAAAAAGACTCCCTAGACTGGCCACATGACACATCTCCTTAACTGCACAAATATCTGTATCAAAACTCGCTAAGCATCAATATACAACCGAACATCTAATAATAACTTTTAAAGGTGAATTTCACCTACTTTTTATTCTTATTTCTATAAATTGGTAGAAAGGGTTGTCAGTAGTAATCGACCAAACACCGCAAAGAAGGAGGGCACCGAATAACCAATCAAATTATTTGACAAGTATTCAAAGAAACCAAAGAGTAAAAGGAAATCTACACAGTAAAGTAATACAAAATTCTAAAATTACATAATGAATGATTAAAAATAACTAATAAAGAGTGAATATAAATACAAAAATTAATCAGAAATACAATTATTCTAGTCTTTTTTAGTTTGAAATGAGTTTTACAATGACAAAGAGAAATTGATCTCTAAATCAACTCAATGCCATTTGGGCATCCATGAGAAGGGTCGTTACCGGAGAAGGCGTCACTTTATTCTAAATTTTGGAATAAAGTTATTTACATAAAATTTCTCACAAATTGAAATCAAGTTGTGGGAGAATATAGTGCTAAAAGGTCGATGAACTAAGTAGTTCCAATTTGTTTTAAGAAGGGACTTGCAGAAAAATTAATATACATACATATAACATATTGGTAGTAGTCAGTTTTCAAAGATCTTCTAAAAGCCAGTTGCACATATGTGGGCAAGATGGTAAATTTAATCAATTGTTGAAAGTATGTGCCATGCTTGGGCACAATCAGTGTTTTGTGACGATAAATTACTACAGTTAAAACCAAGAGCAATTCTTATGTTTCGATTGAGGGTAGAAGTAGTGAAGACCAATCAGAGAATAGAAGAAATAGAACAGCAGAGTAGTATTAGTTCTGCCGAAAGTGATGCTAGAAACGGTGGTGGTCATGACGACAGAGCATTTTTAAATGTGTTACTAAGCAACATATTAGACCGATATGCAACTGTTGCTATGCGTAGCGTTGGATCCACATTGGGTTTCAACACTGACCACTTTTCAAATAAAGTACACAGTTGGCACACAAAAATATTATCATCACACGAACATTTAAAAAAAAAATGTTATATAAAATGGTATATCGCACAATTACTGCCCGCAAAACCAAAACTTATTTGCTGCATAAATTTGCATAATCAAATAACTCATTTGCAAGAAGGTGATGAACACCAATGAGGTTGCGTATCAACAATTTCTTCACCCATGTTTTTTTGCATCACTGTGATCATCATGAGAAAGCTCACATGGAGAAGTATTTCAATTACAAAAATTAAATTATTTTAATTTCATCACAGTATCATAGAGAAAAAAACTGCATGTTTATATTGACCAATCAGTGACAGTTTACTTGACATAATCATTAATTTTTCATGTGGCACAAATCATTGGCCAATCAGTGCCATGACACAATTTGATTGTGTTACAGAGTATTGCTTTATATGTAGAAATATACATGAAAACACTCTGATCTGATTATGTTAATGAATTCCTTATATGCATACTTCATTGCCCAATCAATGCAGTGACACTCTGATCTGATTATGTTAATGAATTCCTTATATGCATACTTCATTGACCAATCAATGCAGTGACACTCTGATCTGAATATGTTACTGAATTCCTTATATGCATACTTCATTAACCAATCAATGCAGTGACACTCTGATCTGGTTATGTTAATGATTTCCTTATATGCATACTTCATTGACCAATCAATGCAGTGACACTCTGATCTGGTTATGTTAATGATTTCCTTATATGCATACTTCATTGACCAATCAATGCAGTGACACTCTGATCTGATTATGTTAATGATTTCTTTATATGCATACTTCATTGACCAATCAATGCAGTGACACTCTGATCTGGTTATGTTAATGAGTTGCTTATATGCATACTTCATTGACCAATCAATGCAGTGACACTCTGATCTGGTTATGTTAATTAGTTGCTTATATGCATACTTCATTGAC